TGGCCGGACAAAATTTCCGATCATTTCAGCATTTGGTCGGTAAAATCGGAATTTGGTCGGAAAACCGCCGGCCGCCGGCCGTTATTTCAGGCTCTGGGAAAATGTTCACAAACCATCGACGAATATATCGCGAAGAGCTACAAATGTGTGTTTGACTCGGTGTATGGAATAAAAACCAAACGTACTTGCAGGTTCGGTGAGTCTGGGATTGGACACACCTCGGGTGGCTGGAATTAAGTTTCCCGAACTCACCTCGCTTCGCTCGGTAAGTTCGGGAAACTTCCAGCCACCCTCGGTGCGTCCAATCCCGGACTCACCTCCCTGCAAGTACGTTTGTTATAGAGTCAACTCGAGTCGCTATTTTCAGCGACTCGACTCGAGTCCCAAATGACTCTATAACAAACAGTATTGCAGGGAGGTGAGTCCGGGATTGGACGCACCGAGGGTGGCTGGAAGTTTCCCGAACTCACCGAGCGAAGCGAGGTGAGTTCGGGAAACTTCCAGCCACCCGAGGTGCGTCCAATCCCGGACTCACCGAACCTGCAAGTATGTTTGGTTTTTATCACATGCCATTTCGATAAAATACTAAAAAATACTGAAGAATTTTATACGCATTTTACTCTTTGGTATTTTATTTCGTGTTTGGATAACGAACATTTTAGCCACCAATATACAACGCAAACAAACAAACTTAGGCTTAAATTAAAGCTAAAAAAATTCTCTACAATACTCCCTTATTCTTGAAAAGAGAAAATGAACACATTATGCGAAAACAATGCCAAGATTTATATAAACCTGCTCGTGCCGAACAAATTTCGGCGGCCATCTTTCTTTTTTTCCACTTTGAATACAGAATATTCCATTTTCATCACACAAAATAAAAAAATAATAATTATAAAACAATTAAAAACAGTTAATTTATTTTTTTATTTAAATCTTCATCTGAAATTTGTTTAAATCGCTTCATAATGGCCGCCGCCAAAACATCAATCTCGAACCCACCTCCTAAACTTACGTCAGCAGGTGGGTTCGAGATTGAACGCACCTCCTCCGCGTAGCCAATAGGAAAGCCGCTAATACGCTAGGTATGAGATACGACTCGGACTCGACTTGCTGATTTTGCCGTAAATGACTCGAGTCAACTCAGCTACAACTTGCACAGAGTAAATTCATCAGAATTATTGTGATTGTATTCCTTGGGAAGAACAATGAGCCCTGTAAACAATGAGAACTTCGAAACTTTATCAGGAAATATATGGGATTTGCATAGAATATATTCCTGACGGACATACCTACAGTATATTACATTTCTGTTTAGAAACAACGCCAGTGCCACAGTTTTTAAAATGGAGTCTCAAAATGTTTTGTACTTATACTAATTCTGACAGGCTATTTTCATTTTTGGCATTTATGAAAGCTATATAATTTCAAATTAACTTACAAAGCGTGGTTAATTAAAGTCTATCCTTTGTTAATTCTGACTCCAGTTGCAAGTTACGCTAGTTATATGTACGTACACTCGATCAGCAGGCATGATGAGACATCTCATGTGGTCGTACTTAATATTGACTAGAACTGTGATATTGGTACAGCCTATAGCTGCCCAGATACTGTTATTAAATGACTAAAGTAATTAGTTTAAAACGCAAATTTGATTACTAATTTCCGACTGCAAGCTAGGGTAGCTCAAGTCAAGTCTAGCAATTGACTCGACTCGACTTAAACCAGTGACTCGACTAGTCGACTTGACTCGAGTGAAGCCACTGGCTCGACTCGATCAAAAACTGAAATGACTCGACTCGACCTTTGAGTGACTCGACTCGTGACTCGACCTATAGGTGACTCGTTACAACACTGCCAAATACCAGTCCCAAATGTGAAAGAACATTCGAACGAACATTCGAACAAGACAAGAAGATACAACAACAAGATACTTTATGTCGGTGGCACAAATATTACGTTTACACATAGTAGTTTATAGTAGTAAAGGCAAGGAGACCTAATGAAACCGTAAGCTTTATCTATAGTGAGGCCACCTTGTGCAGAATATTCTATTTATTTAAGACTCATTACAAATGCTGCATTGTCATTCAGGTGAAAATTGAAAAATTCCCAGATATCTATCACAAAATCTGAAATTAAGAAATGTTAACTCTGTCTTCGTAATGGTTTTCCATTCCCATTTTTGTGTCAGTCATTCGCAGTCCCAGTATTAACCCAAATCTCATTTTCCCAGTCAAAAAAGGCAAATCCCATGCAGTTCCTATTTTACCCCTTCATGACCCCTTCCCGTTATGAATTGTTGGAAACACGGCTTCAGTGGCACATCAGAGCAAACGCCTACCACTTCTGATATATTAGGCTTCGATTCTTGCTTATTTTTCGGGATACTCCGGTTTATTCCCACACGAAATATGGACAGGTTGAATTGAGATAAGTTCCAAACTAACCCCGCCATATATATGTTTACAGAGGCGAAAGTGGTGCCGGTAAAACCGAAGACACGAAGAAAGTTATCCAGTACTTTGCCAACGTTTCTATGGGAGGTTCCAAGAAAGATGGCGATAAAAATGCAAACGTAAGCATTTAAATTAACATAAACATATAGCTCATTAGGTCTACGTATTATTGTTCTGATAATAGAATGTAAGTATATTAGCTGTGCATGCTCCGTGATCAAAGTCTATAACATTTCTTAATTTCAGATTTTGTGATAGATCTCCGGGAATTTTTCAATTCTCATATGCAACAATTCCTATGTGTTGTCGCGGGAAAATTGCGGAAAAGGGAATTCTGCTGCATCGTAAAATTGAAAAATTAGGATAACTTATTTTGGCGGCGCAGTGTTATGGTCTGCTCAAATGCAAACACAAGTAGAACTGTATTCAATAGCGGTTTACTACTTGGCAACCAAATTTGTTTTGGCAAAAGGAGGTGAGAGTTGACTGACGCGTTTTTGGACACAACTTCGAATCGCTGCTAATCTTCTTCTTCTTGTTAGGGGGCGACACTCTTTGAGAAAACCCTAAGCCTAAGGCTTCGTCATTACTTGTCCGATCGCAATGAAACTTGACATAATTATTCCGCTTTAAGTAATATTCCGCTTTACTAAACCTCTCGAGGCTTGAGGGTACATTTAATCACTAATCGCCCTGAATGCCATGCTATTACTTATAAAAAAATCGCGAACCGTAAAAACAAAGACATGTCAATTTGTTTTTAGCACAAGCATGCAGTTATGAAGCCATGACTATTACGAAGCGAGATGAAACTGCATTAACCTAGCAACAATTCAAATAATTTGTTACCTTAACTTAAGCCCCGTTTATACATGCACGGCACGTACACGACTGTAGCTGCAATATTTTGCAATGGCACGCACGGCACGGCAAAATTTGATGTTCGGCAAAAGTTAAATTTAGGCACGGCATGTTTATTCTAAATATTGTGGGACATTTAACTTATCTATCGAATTCGAATGCGAGGAAATACTTTTGAAAACTGCGCATTTAGTTATCTATGCTTTGTCCAGATTTACACCTCATTTATACACGGCACTAGACACATTTTTGCCCTGCGGATAAAGTATCTTGCATGACCAAATTAAAGCAAAATTTAGCGAACTCTATACGCTGCTAACACTTCGAGAATCATCGGATTCACAAGTGTCTAGTTATTTGTTTATCAAGTTAAAAATACGAAAGGTTTTGAACGTTTAACGATTTGCACAAGATCGAAACTGGGTCACGCAGTTCCTGGTCCACTATTGTACGATCGTACTTGTCATACATGTCGAAGAGGCAACAACCTTCGAGAGGCAGTGCGCAAGAACTTGCAAAATCTGTCCATGGTCCGGTTTATAAGCCTATAAACAGAATTTTTTCTTGGCGGAAGTAACTATATTTTTTCAAATCCCACCCACTTTCAAAATTCGGCGGAATCGGCGCCCGGTTTTCATTTCTGCGCCCCCAAGAATTCCCAGTTGGGGGGGGCGTGCCCCCCCTGCCAGCACGCCACTAAATTGTGAAGACGGAGACTTTAAGCAGGATGGATTCAAGAGTAATTGGTCGAACGTTTGCTGGATCGTTTGTTTCTCCTTTCTTGTGAAATGTGAATTAATATTGTGCATGCTTTTTTACATTCAGATGGAACAACACGGCGTGATGTAACTTCAGTCTTGCATTTTGCCCAAGTACGTTAATACAGTTTGAAGCATGCCCATGCATGGCTTCTTATTTTATGAAACATTACAATAACACGGGGCACTAAAAACTAGCATAGTTAAGAAGACTTAACGGGTTAAAATTTACTTGGAACTTACCACTGCGAAACATGACAAACAATGAACCAAGAGCGCCTGCGTGCTGAAAAACTTTCTGTAAAAGACTGTATGCAAGTTGGCGAAGAGAATCAACAATATAGTTTCACTATGATTTCACCACGTTTGAACCTTTGACGAGTCTGCCACCTTTGAAACTATTTTGCTCGCTTGTAATATTATAATGTAGATTTATTCATTTACATACCAAATGAAACCAAATTAAATATCTCGAGAACAGGATAAGCTAGAAAATTTACAGTAAACTGTCCTGTTTTCATGCCCCATGCCCATAGAAATAATAGATATAGAATGCGTACTTGATCACGAATCATGTCTCCACTTTTTCTCATGCGTGCCCTATGCCCATGCCCTGTCGTATGTGATATTTGCCCATATATAGCTATGGCCTATGCATTCAAGAATTACGCCACAAAGCTATAAAAATGCCGAACTATCGAAATATTTCTATCTGCCGTAATTTGGAGATAAAGGGATAGTCGCAATCACGCATTTTGTTTTTCTCAATAATTGCATGTTGCTTTTTAAAATATATTTCGACTTTCGATGTTAATTTAATACATAGACGGATTTTCATATTTTTTACTGGGGTGGTGCCAGAAATTTTAGGGGGGTGAGCCGTGAGCAGGTGACTGAAGCAACACAAAGTGTCACCAAACCCCAGTAAGGTCTATATTCTAGGGGTGGAGCACTAGGGAGGACCCTTTTGCATGGTCGGCCTTTAAAAATTTCAGGCGAGAAGTAAAGCGACGTATAAGATTTTCGGAGAGAGAATATGTAAGAGAACAGATTAAAAGTAACAGAAACAACACCAACTCCATATGGAAATCTATACGATCGTGTATACCGAAAAAATCAGCCACTCAAAGTCTATAGTAAGGATCATAAAACTGTTGCTGATGAATTTAATGAATTCTTTGCCAGTATTGGTCAAAATACGGTTAAAAAATTGAAAAAATGGCCGCTGATGAAAATTATGACCTAAATGAAAACCCTTTTAAACCAAGACATTATTTACCATCTGAACAATTTTCCTTTACCGCTGTTGAACGTGAAGAAGTTGAATCTATTGTTATGTCTATGGCACCAAACAAAGCTCCTGGGAACGATAAAGTTCCGATACATGTAATCAAAACTTGCTTGACTGTAATTTCACCTACCATCACTTCAATTATCAATGCCTCACTATTAACCTCTAGTTTTCCGAGCGTATGGAAAAACGCTGAAGTTGTTCCTATCCACAAGAGTGGTGATCATGAGATCGCAAATAATAATAGACCTATATCGCTATTGCCAGTGCTATCAAAGATCTGCGAACGAGCAGCTTATAATCAGTTTTCGACCTACCTTCTCTTGAATGATCGTTTATCGTCTAAACAAAGTGGAAACAAGCATCTACACTCAACAGAAACCTCGGTAATTCAGACTACAGACATGATCTTGAATGCCATTGACAAGAAACAGCTAACTGCGATTGTATTACTCGACATGAGCAAAGCATTCGATAGCATAGATACCACGACTCTGATTACTAAGTTAGAAGATGTTGGCGCGTCTTGTCAGGCGATTCAATGGTTCCAAAGCTACCTAACATCCAGGTATCAAGTAGTAAGAATACAAACAACCTTATCCGAGCCTTTAGAGGTAAAGAGTGGAGTACCTCAGGGAAGTATACTTGGGCCACTTCTGTTTAGTATTTATGTGAACGATTTGCCATCAGTTCCACAACAATGTTCTCCCTATTCCTATGTCGATGACACAAAACTCCTAATGTCGTTTTCTCTGCAACACCAACAAAGAGCTGTCTCAGAAATAAATCAAGATCTCTTGAGAATACGTAATTGGTGTTTTGATAACAAGTTACTGTTAAACCCAGGAAAAACTAAGGCCATGATATGCGGTAGCAGACAGATGAGAGCAAAACTTCCTAATTTTCGCCTCTCACTTCTCGGTAAAGAAATCATTCCTGTAACAAGCGCCAAAGATCTCGGCGTAATCTTGGACTCTGGTATGACGTTCGACAGCCATGTACAAGCCACTATCTCCTCATGTATGTCTCGTTTAGGTCAAATAAACCGCGTGAAACATTGCTTTGACAAACACACATTAACAATTATTATTAACTCTCTAGTTTTTTCAAAATTATATTATTGCTCTACAGTCTGGAGCAACACTTCTCAAACAAATTTAAATAAGGTACAGGTAGTGCAGAACTTTGCATGTCGAATAGTTAGCGGAGTTGGCAAATACGATCATGTCACACCAATTCTGCAAGAACTAAAGTGGCTTCCTGTTCGACAGTATTTATATTTTCGTGATGCAGTCATGGCATTTAAATGCATGACAGGAAACGCACCTGCATACCTAACTGAGCAGTTTGTGAGACGAGGTGACATTTCATCTCGCGTTACTAGGAACTCGAGCATGATTGAAACTCCTTTACACAGAACAGCAACTGGGCAACGATCCTTCAAATTCAGAATGGCCACAATTTGGAATTCCTTAAAACCAGAACTTAGGGCCTGCGAAACAACGAAAGACTTCAAACATATTTTAAAACAGAGACTTGTAGAAACATTTAAATTTAGGACCAATCTTAAGACATTTTGATGTAAATAGCATATATATTTGTGTAGTACTACCAAGTGGCATACTTCGAAACCCGGACCGGACTCGGACTCGGACCCGGACTCGGACTCTAAGAAAATCCGGACTCGAGGAAAACCCGGACCCGGACTCGAAGAAAATCCGGACTCGTGTTTAAGAAAACCCGGACTTGACTTTTGAAAACCCGGACTCGAAATAGAAAAAACCGGATTCAAAACAAGGACTCTGTGTACGAGAATGCAAAGGTTTTTTAGAAAAGTTTAATAATAGTTAACATGATAAACTATGATCTCTTTATAACAATAATGATGTATATATCTTTAAATAAATTTCTACAGTGCTGTTGCACTATCTGGCGTAGTGCTGATAAAGAATCTGAGTTGCTCGGTAATAATTGCGGGTGTCCCTATCTCTTCCCGCTTTCTATATATAGATATAGATATAATACTTTATTTCAAAAGCAATAAGCTTGGTTTTGAAACATGTAGATCATTTTTTCTTCTAGTAACTCAGTGTTATGTGTTAACAATGTGAGGATACTAATCAGTAATCATACTAGCTATGATTCCTCACAAAATAATCACTATATAGTATAAATACCTGAAAAAATTATTTAGACACTTTAAACAGCTAAATCTACCCTAGACCTAAATTAATAACTAAAATCTGTCTCAGCAGTCAAGACTGTCTTGTCTGGAAACCATCTCGTTACACAAGTGCTGCAACCATAGCAAACAACTGACGTGTGAGACTCAATACTGACAATGAAGTTTGAAAATAAATCAAGTTATTTTGAGAATCAACATGCTAGCCTACCCTCGTACTAGCTAATTGTAGACGTATGCATAAATGAGCCGCGGTTATATGCAAGGCACTTCGGGCAATTGATGAACGCATTACCTAACGAGAGAGTCTCAATATCACTGAATTTATGCCAATTCACCCAACGCGAATTTCACTGTCGGCATTGCTGCGACACATTTTTTTGTTTCCACTTTAAGATTGCTTTCATTGTGATGTGTTTTCTTCTATTTTTGATTAGGAATAATTGTGGGTGTTCAATTCGTGTTTGTGAACTTTATCTTAACAAAATTGAGAAAATAAACGTGTTTACAGCAGCGTCTTGCCCAAATATATTTGAGAGCACTTTATAATATCAAATTGCCGCGACACCTTCATTGCCTTCAGCATGTGATGTGCTTTTCCGGATCGGTTGAAGTTACTTTGCTAAAACGGAAATAATTTTTATTGAGTTTGTTTTTTGGCAATATATATACTGTATATATATATATATTCGGGACTTTGAAAGCTATCATTGGATTTGCTACCATTGAAATGATGGCCTAAGCCACAAAACACGGTCGAGTTATTTTTCGTGTCATTTTGACAAATTTTTCGAAAGTGTGCTGTCCATTGATACATGTGTTGGGGTATATTTTACCCTTGCCGCCATATCACGTTGTCTGCTATGGTTGCAGCAATCGTGTATCGAGATGGTTTCCAGACAAGACATTCTTGACTGCTGAGACAGATTTTAGTTATTAATTTACGGGTTTAGGGTAGATTTAGCTACTCGCGGAAGTATGCAAAAATGTATTTTGGTGTTCAAGTGCCTAAATGATTTGTTCAGGTTTACTATATAGTGATTATTTTGTGAGGAACCATAGTATGATTACTGATTAGTACATACCTAATTTTAAGAATTTTTTATCACTGCACATTTTATGCCAAAAATTTCCGAATGACTAAGAAAATTTTGGTCAGTGTACCATTTTAAGGGTCAAAAATTTTTTCCGGACGTACCAAAAGCCAGATATTAACTAAAAATTGCCTGAATCTCATGATTTTCGTACAAAAAACATATACTATTATTTAATTCGATAATTTGGCAGTCATCATTTCAATTTCAATTAAATCATTCTCTTGTGTTAATTAACAACTTATCAAAGCAAATTTTATCACTGCACATTTTACATTTTATCACTGCACATTTTACTTTTATCACTGCACAAATTGGTTATCACTGCACACTAAAATTAGGTATGGATTAGTATCCTCACATAACACATAACACTGAGTCACTAGAAAAGAAAATGATCTACACCTTTCGAAACCAACCTTATTGCTTTTCAAATAAAGTATTCTATCTATATATAGAAAGCGGGAAGAGATAGGGACACCCGCGCGAGGGAACAAATCCGCAAATTTAATATTACCGATGCAACTCAGATTCTTTACCAGCACTACGCCAGATTGTGCAACAGCACTCTAGAAATTTATTTAATTAAAGATATATACCGGATTACTGTTATAAGAGATCATCGTTTATCATGTTAACTATTATTAAACCTTTCCAAAAAACCTTTGTATTCTCGTACACAGAGTCCTTGTTTTGAATCCGGTTTTTTCTATTTCGAGTCCGGGTTTTCAAAAGTCAAGTCCGGGTTTTCTTAAACACAAGTCCGGATTTTTTTCGAGTCCGGGTCCGGGTTTTTCTCGAGTCCGGATTTTCTTAGAGTCCGAGTCCGGGTCCGAGCCCGAGTCCGGTCCGGGTTTCGAAGTATGCCCTACCAAGTGTGTGTGTGTGTGTGTTGTGTGACTGTGTGTACGTTGTTATGTGTGTCTCTCTATTATTACAGTGTACAAAAATTTAGATCAATTATGTAAAATTTCGCTGAAAAGCCTTTTAAGGGATGTGAAATTAAAATACAATAACAATAACAATAGAGAGCAAAAAAAAAAAGTATCCCTGGAAAAAATTGAAAAAAAATCATGATTTCTAGCTTCGAAAAAAAGTTTTTTGAAGTTGTCATATCAATGGATTTGGCATGTCCGATTGTCTGTTGAGACTTGAGAGCGTTAAAGTTAAATGAACCTGTAAAAGTGTAAACCCAATAGGCCAATACACAATATGCTTTTACTTTTATAAAGTCATTGACATTGTGTCGTTTGAATCCGAGTACAATTTATGATGCAACTCCGATGTAAATAATATTTGGCGCGTAAAGATTAAATCTCGGCAAGTATATTTCCTAAAATAATTAAAAACTACTGAATAATGTTCCTAAAATTCCAAACGTTCCTTGCAAGCAAGCTATTTGCATGACAAGGCACTGCAAATTCTATTCAGGGGAGATAATAGAGTTTCAAAACTTTACAATTGCTCCAATAAACCAGTGAATGCAAGCGAAGAGCGATTAGTTTCAGAGTATTGCACTTGTCTTTTTCTATTCGAGTGTACTCCTACGTTTATTTTGTATCATCAACACTCTGCACGTTGGAGTGGACTATTTAATTAGTTTATTATGCCGAATAATGGGGGTTGAAAATTTTTTTGGAGGGGTGGACATTTTGTTTGGGGGGTTATAGCTAATATTGGTCTTTGATTTAATACCATTGTAATAACCACATTCAAACAATAATTCATAAGCTTATTTAAAATTGTTCTTATTACGTAAATCTCTGGCAAATCATGTCAACCATAATATGTCACATGAAGAGGTTTTATACCTGATAAAACTCATCTTCATGCATTAGTATTCTTTATATAAAAGTCCATCCTAATTAGTATTCTTTATGTAAAGAATACTAATGAACGGCATCTATTGTAGTCGTGTTTGAAGAGGTCTTTGAAGCTATTCAAAACACTTGTAGTCGTGTTTTATCATATCTACAATGCTCATGCTGCGCAATCTCATTTTAAATATGATAAAACACTCCCACGCGTGTTTTAAATAGTATACTTGCCTGATAAGACCCTTGGAGCCGGTTTGGAGAAGCTTTCGGTCCAAGTGTTGCGGTCTCACATTGGTGGCTTCGGTGCTAGCCTATAATAATTACATTATTGGTGAAGATCCATGCAGGTTTAAATGTGATGGGCCACAAATATACCAATTTGAAACAATTATATTTCCGGCATGCAATCCAACAAGGACCTTGCATAATTTATATGTACAAGAATTTATTGCGATAGAAGTATTTTGGCTTGGCTTTCACGAAATTGTTTAAAGCTTTAAAGTTCACTAACAAAATTGAAGTGGTACAATCTACTTGAAATAGTTGAGTGTTTTCTGCCACAATGGCAAGTGCCTTTTCTCGTATAATATGAGAATTCTTTGAATTCTTTTGGAGTTTGTGATTCGACCAAACACCCTCGACGAAGGTCAGTTTAGAACTGATAAAGCTATGTAGTATGAACATTAAGTTGGTTTGTTTTTCTACTGTCGTAATACTTAACACGAAGAGCAAGCTGTACATGCATGATATATCCAGTATCAACATCGGTATTAACTGCAAACTTAACTAGTTAATTTAGGTTCCCTCCAGTTAAACCTCTGGAAGAACATGCAACAATAGAGTTGTCACTATAATATAAATAAAATAAGTCTAGTCTAGTGTCTCTTTATTTACGCGGTGAACCTCGACGAAGAACAGTTTTATTACTGACTAATGAAATGATGCTTACGAATATGAGTTATGTCAAATATATAGCAGTTTATGGTACACAATTTTCCCTCACAGAACGATAACTTCTTCACCGTAAACCGCCACGAAAATTAACCGAATTCATATTAAAGATGGGAAACTCGTCATGGACGGGAAACTCATATGAAATCCGTCTGAAATTTTGTGTAGGTTTTATATATAATTTTGTTTATCTGCATGATAATTCTATAGTTTCACTTTCGTTTCCGCTTTGCTTGACAACTATTTATCTATCTCATTTATCCGTCTGCATGCGAATTTAAGACGAGTTTCTCGTGAAAGACGGAAAAGCTGAGACGGAAAACTCGTCTGTTGCCGGATTTATCTTAAACGAGTTTCCATCTCTAATTGTGAATCATGTTCAGCAACTCGCAGGTCGTGTTTTATTAGGTCTAAAGCCACTCGCGCTGCGCGCTCGTGGCTTTAAACCTAATAAAACACTCCTGCTCGTTTTTTAAATAGTACATATAAGGCAAAACCGCCTAACTGCAGTCAAACTATAATAATAGATCTCCTTCACTGCATGCAGATGGATTATCGGGAATAAGAAATAAAGCAACCAAAGTTATCAAACTGTACTTATACATCCAATGATATAGCTAGTAAGACCAAATTTGTGATCAGATTGACTAACTAAACTGTTGAGAGTATACTATACCTTACTCCTTAGACTAGAAATATACAGAATTACCATACTCTATAGATGAGAAAATAGAATTGCTATAGTACTAAATGCTTCACGAACAAATCCTTTGGCTTGATCCATGACGATGATAAGTTAAAGAGGTAACGTATTACGTACATCATACATCTTCAGCTTATAGACTGTGCAAACAATATGCCTGTGCTTGCTAGACTGTAAAAACTGCACGTAGCGTCGTACGCAAAAATGTATGATTGATACAATGTCATTGCATGGTGATTATTGATATATGCAGGGTGTCCCAAAAAACCCCGAAAACTATTGAAATCACTTATTGTTAAAATTTGAATGCCCTACCAAACAGCTGGACGTAATGATGCGTAAAATATTGACAAGGTGCATGTATTAAAATTTAGTTATGAACATCTCCTTGTAAAGTGCGCGATTTTCTGCTCCTGGCCTTGGGAATTTAAAACAGCTTCTCAAACAGTTTCTTTATGCATAAAATTTACTTATGTCAATCATTTATATATGCACTCGTGGGAACCAACAGAGTGCTAAGGCATTCACTGAATTCTAACAATTAAATTGTTATTGGTTATTTCAATAGTTTTCTTTTGGGGGGGACACCCTGTATAATTACATGAGGCGCCGAAGCGGGCAAAACTGCTGTATGCATAATGTCAATGCTCTTAATTCTGTAAACATGCAGCATATGAATGCATGGTTTGTTAAAATAAAAGCATTTAAAATTCAAAAAATACACCCTGAAACGAAGAAATTCATTCGAAGTTCTTATCAGTTCGCAAATTTATATGGTTCTATAATCAATGTTCGCAAAAATAGATTCCAAAGATTTTTCAAGCAATATACCTCTCGGTCCTCTCGATATACAGAGCACAGTCATTTGCTCAAAGATGTCAAGTACATATTCAATGCCAGAATGTTCCCTGCGTTATCACTGGTTGAACATTCGCGCAAACATTTCGGACACTGAACTTTCGACAGCGTTCCAGCAAATTCAGTAACCAACGATGTTTGCTTACAATCTGGGCAGGTGTATTTCGCCTTTTGCAAGCCTTTCACCGAGTTCATCAACTTTGCAGCTACTTCAGATCCATGTTGATGGTAACACTTTTCCTCTCCTTCAGTCAAGTCACTCAACGTCCAGTAAATGTCGAAAAATTCCAGTTGGAGTACTTCTGCATTTTGCACTCTGAAGAATCCATTGTCGCCCCACTTATGTCCTCAGGGAAAAAAGCCTTCCGTTCGTCGTCTGTTAGACGGAATCTTGCTACCACAGGACGTTTCTTGACAATGGCTTCCATCGCTCCCTTGATCAAAACGCTTTGGCTTTGTAAACGATACTTCGGGCATATTTCCTCTAAAACTTTACGGGCATTAGCACCATCGATTCCATAGGCTTTGATTATTTCATCTTTCAACTTGTGAAAATCTGGATATCCGCCTTCTCGACCGAGAATTCGTTGCATTGCCAAATGAAGCACAGCAGCAGATGCGTTTGCATAGCAGGTTCCTCCCTGTTGTTTATTCGGTATAAACTCATCAGTGGTTTGGCTGATGTATATGTCGAGGTCAACAGATACCAGCAATTTAGATAACGCTTCTGAACTACAGACAATATTTTTGGCCATTTCACATGCTTTCCTAAAAGTAATTTCAAATAAACACGTCAGAATTCTGCGTGCCCATAACTTATCGTCTATGACTAATTTTAAGAGCCACTATATAATCTGTATATGTCCCCTCAGTTCCCATGGAGCTAAACTATTTAATCCCCCTTCCCTCTCTCCCAAGTGAAGGCCCATTTTTAAATGAAAGCAAAACAAGTAAGAATAACTTAATTGAGAAGCGTGTCTTGATGCTCTTGTCTAACTACTGAAATGAAGTCTTCATAGTTTAGAATTTAGAGATGACTCAGATGAGATGTTGGGATGACAAATTTATGGCGTTGGTATACAGGGAAAATTATCAGTTATTACTGGTACATCAATTTTCATAGTGGGCTATTTTTGAACCGGTTTTAATTTTCTGGGGTATAGGATTCCCAGATCCCCCTTACCAATTCGTGCTTTCCCCGTTTGCCACCGTGCAGTACGTTCTTGTTGAACTTAATATCTTAAGTTGTCAGGATGATTGACTTGCATGAACAACTTTGTTTCATTGTTGGCAATGTCGATCGTCCAACCACGTTTGATCAAAATTGCTCGTGTTAGATGTAGATGCTGTGATGTTTTTTCATAGCTTAACGAAAACAGAAACTTGGCTCCATTTTCCCAACTTTCCTCCATTTTAGCGTACAAACGTTTTGGATGAATATCTGTGGAGCTAGTGATAAAACAGGATACTGTTTTGACGCCTGCTTTTTTTAGTCCAGAAGTAATTTGGTTGATCTTGGCGATATCACCAATTCTGCCGTCTGCAGGCTCTCCATCTGATAGCACGAAAAGCAGTTTGTTCTTAGACGTATCTCCTTCAAAAAGCTTTATTGCCTTTTCGAGAGATTCAGACAACGGCGTTCCGCCATAAATGAAAGGCTCGACGTTTTCAAGTAACTCCTGTTTCCGCTCTTTAGAAAGTTCGTTAAGTCCCTTCTCACCGACGCATCCACGAATAATGCGGGAGGCATCTTGCACAGTGAATATAGAGTGGATTCCTACGTCTTTTAAAATACGAGGGGCATCTTTCATGCTGAATTTAGAGCAGGTTTCTACATTTTTTAAAACACGAGAGGAATCTTCTAAATAGCATTTTGCCTTTCTGACAACTTCTTCGATTTCCTCTCTCGTAGCTGATCTAATACAACTAACTGCCGATACAGCAGCATTCTCTGCCATGTTTGCTGCTATACGTAGACCAAATTGTACGCCGCCGGCCAACCATGAACCCCAGCTTTCATTCTGCGCTTCTCTGGATTGAAAATGAAAGTCTGGGTTCGTGGATGTGCCAATTCTTGGAACGAGAAAGATCGGGATTGATTCTGCGGTCCTCTCGCTCAGATTGAAATGCTGGGTTCGGGATTGATCGCCAGCATGAGATGCTGTTTGTACTGTATCACGACAACTGGGTGGTAAAAACTCGTCCACAAATTTTTTGACAAACCGTTCGTCCGACTTAAGTTCTTGCAGAGTCAATGTTGCCATATAATAAGATAGTACATCTTGAATCAGTTTAACATTGCAGGCCCATTTACGTATGTTGCGTGCACCGTTTCTCTCGAGAATACCAAAGATCTCGTTGATATGGTCTTCAGTTGCAGGCCTGTTAAGAGTTCCAATAACATCAAATATTTCTTTGCCACGGCATTCAGCACCGACGCCTATTGCAAAAACACGATTCTCAGATGTAAGATCATGGTCAATAAGGTCATCGATAACATTGAATATAGACTGCACCCATGGTCCGCCTTCTTCATCAGTACCGCTTCCAATGTTCCTCTGCATAGAACCAGAAACATCAATTAGTATTCCAGTTAGCGACATGAGTTGTTTTATCTACAATAAACCACAATATTACAAAAATATATATTAAATTAAAGAACTGAATTTTCGACCGCGTATCACAGCTTTCGTCACAGTTAATTGCATGGTTTGTCAAAACGTCTGCGAGTGGGCCTTCAAAAATTCTTTAAAATTAATACATATATTTGGAATTGAATTGAATTGAATTGAATTTGAATTGAATTGAATTGAATTTATTACAAAATCTGAATGGCAGCTAAGAGCTGAATTGTACAGAGTTGACATTTAAAATACATGGTAAAACTAATACATATAGTAATATACGGTATATTAAAACTAAAATTTATATTACAATTAAAATGAATCATTATATGATACGATACTACAAGGAATAAAACTTTTACTAAATCTTGTAGTCTTACAATTAATTAAGTTAATATGCTGATCGTTACGTAGATTGTAAGAACGTAAGTCCTCGCGTTTATTAGGGATAAGTTCATTCAATTTATTTTCCGGGTTGAGAAGTTTCTTAAAATAGGATTTACATAAATTATTTCGTCTTTGACAGAGCAACGATATTTCATGAACTTCCAAGGCTTTGCGGTATGACAGGTCAGGACATATTATTCGTAGGGCTCGCTTCTGAATTCTTTCGATTTCTTCCTTTAAATAGTCAGGGGAGTTTAAGTTCCAAACCTGGCATGCATATTCAAGCACAGGTCGTATACATGTGGTATAGACTTGAATTAGAGAACTCCCTCCAAGACCGCTGCGTTTAAGCACTCGGAGAAAAAAGTCTCTTTGATGCCTTGTATACTATGTGTTCAACATGTAAGTTCCAACTAAGATCAGAAGAAAAGTACAGACCAAGAACCTTTGCTGATAAAACTGGGGACATACAGTGATAGTCTTCAATAAACAATGGTCGAAGATTAGGGACGTCCTTAGCGAACGAGATAATTAGCTCTTTGCATTTAGAACGATTAAGCATCATATCATTTTCCGTGCACCATTGACCGATATTATTAATAACGGATTGCAGGTTACTTTGACAACCTTTACCGATTGTTTCGGAGAGACTAGTGTCGTCAACATATTTCCATCTATCTTTGTGGTTAATAGCCAAATCGTTGACCATGATGAGGAAGAGTAATGGGCCAAGGATTGTACCTTGCGGGACGCCTCCATTTACCAAGGACCAATCAGAGAACGAAGAACCCAATTTCACTCTCCGTCTTCTTTGCATCAGGAAATCAATAACCCAGTTTCTTAAGGATTTATCAATATTTAGTAATTGCATCTTTTTTATCAGGATTTTGTGGTTGATTCTGTCGAATGCTTTACCAAAGTCAAGCAGAAAAACACGAACAGTCTCGCCATTGCCGTCTGTGTTAGAATACCAACAGTGGAACATGCTAATTAATGCGTCTATCGTAGAAGAGCCTTTTAACGATCCGAATTGCTTTGGGTCCAACTGAGACTTAATGGTATCCATAATCCATTGAAATGGAAATAATTCAAGAACCTTTGAGAGCGTGGCGGTCAGGGATATAGGTCGCAGGTCTGAAGATATATCCGTGACCGAGGGTGTCTTAGGGACGGGAACGACATTTGCTTCTTTCCACTGCATTGGAACTTGTGCTTGTTTAATGGAGGCATTAAAAATCATTGTCACAGGTTCTGAAATCTCCATTGAAAAGTTAGTGAGAATCCAATTTGGCAGAGAGTCTGGACCAGGAGCTTTATTCGATTTAACTGCTTTTAAGGCGGTTTTCCACTAGGCGAAATTTTTCGACCGAATCGAAATTTCTCTTTGTTTCAGAGCTCTCGAGCAGAACTAATTGTAAAAAGACAAAGAGAAATTTTGTTTCGGTCGAAAAATTCCGCCTCGTGGAATCCGGCCTTTAAACGCGAGTCGACATCAACAACGGAGATAGGGTACAAAACAGTAGGTTCTTCCACAGATAATTTATCAGTAATTGAAAGCGGCGGTAACGATTTAGTGGCGGCTAAAAACCCGTTATTAACAGCGAGTGCTAAGTCTCGTCCCTGCAGGATAGTTCCATTCACCTCTGCAGAATGGAAGGCAGGCTTTAAAGAAAAGCCAGCTAGGTTTTTAATAGCAGTCCACCATTTCCTTGGCTTTGAATTTTTTAGATGATTCACTTGAGACTCGAAGTATTTAGACTTTGCCTGTTTCACGACGTGAATTACTTTATTTCGCAATTTGTTGTATTCAATTGTATTTCCCAAGGCCGAAAGCCTTTGTCGTTGGGAGATGATGAGTTTGATTTCAGGGGTAATCCACGCTTTGTCTCTACAGTGAAGTTTAACAGATTTTGGGGGGAAATTTGTATCCAAACCCATGAGAATAATGTCATAAAACAGGTCACACATTTTTTGACAATCGGGTAGCTGCGAAAGTACATTCCAGTTAAGATCCAAAAGAAATCGACCAAATGCCTGCATATTTGATTGCTTCCGCTTTCTGACCCAGACTTTGGTAATGGTATTAGGGCGGTGATTGTTACTAACGGGGTGTAACAGGACTGACATGTGATCCGATTGTCCAATAGCAGGGAGTATTTCTGGGTCATTGTAACAACGTTTCATATTAGTAAATATTAAATCTAAAGTTGCATTCCCACGGGTAGGTTTCTTTACAATTTGTTTAAGTGACGTGTTTCTGCAAAGGCGGTTGGAGTCGAACTGGTTAAAGTCACCCATAACAATTACACCTGCTGTTGGGTAAGATGCTAAAATTTTGTCCAACGAGGTTATGAGGTGGTCATACAGTTCGTTATTATCGGCCTGTGGTGGATGGTATACAAGACCAACAACTATGCAGGAATATTCCCGTGGAAGTCGATAGGGTCGAAGTTTTACCCACAGACTCTCGTGATCTGGACAACATAAGTCAGGAAGAGGCACGAATGGGATATTTGATTTTACGAATGCACAAACTCCACCCCCGCGTTGACCAGAGCGGTCTTTTCTAACCAGGTTAAAATCATGGATATTTATACAGCTATCCGGGGTGCTAGGATTCAACCATGTCTCTGTAATTCCCGCAAAATCTATGCCATTTCTTTGGACGACTACATCAAAATCATCTACTTTATTGGATATGGATCGTACATTGGAAAGAAAAAATTTGGGAAGGGTAGACACCAGGCCTTGAGATGGTAAGATTTCTATATATCTGAGTTAGACATTGTCATGGAATTGCTGACTTGAGTATCTATTAATTTAGGTAGCGGCGTTGCTTGTAATGGGTTTTCTAATGTAACGTTGATCAGGTTATGCGGATTACTTCTCAGTTTAGCACCAGTAATCTGTTTACGGATTCGACCAGATACCACCTTGATCGGGTAGATGGTCGGAGAACTTTCGGTTAGAAAAACTGTGTAAGTTTTTGTCGACCATGCATATAGGGCGTTGTCATTTGATGGACAAAGTCTAAGTATGTTTCCCATTCTAAACTTTGTGTTAGTCTCTCGGATCGTAGTGGGGGATGGTAATTGGTCTGGTACCATCGAAAATGGGGCGTAATTGGATTATTGCGATGAATAACCGGTCGCTTAAAGTTCTGGCCTTTACGTATACACCGGTTGTTGTACTTATTCTTATGAAATTGTTGATGCGGTGCTTCTGGATTATATCTACTTCGAAAAGTGTGGTTGACTTCTTTGGGGGGATTCACGCTTGCCTTTTTACTTAAGCGACTTTGGCTAATATTGTGAGAAAAATCACATCTTGATCCCTTTAAACAATGTCCTTTCTTTAATAGGAATGGACATGCGACCAAATGCTTAGAGGAATTCGCATTAACGTTTTTATTTATGCGAGGTTGACTAATGGAATGAGCCGTATCGTTGCGCACTTCGGCAACCTTATGGAGATTAACATACGCATTTTCACTCATGCAAAACCGACCAGCATTATTATTAGATAATTTTTGATCGTCATTCTTGGTTTGCGTACTAATGCCGACACAAACTGGATATTTTCTGACAAGCTCATCTTTTGATTGAGCAGAATCAAAAGTACATGTTTCTTCCAAATTTATGCTTGCATTAGAAGGTCTCAGTTTGATCAATAATCGCTTCACTAGTTTTGATTCTGTCGTTAAGTAAGGCTATTGTTTCATTCAATTCATTGAATTCGGCATTTCTTTCTCTCACAAACAAAGTCAAGTCCGACTCAAGACGACTGTTTTTATCTTTTTCATGAGCAAGTTCTCGCTTAAGTTGGCTTACATTGGTACGTTCGGTCGCAAATTCAGTCTCAAATTTCTTTTGTAAAATAACTAAATCGAGTTTTATTCCTTCAAACTCAGCAACCAGAATTCCGCAGCCACAACCACAATTATTATTATTCAGCTCCATATGCTCAGTCTCGCAATGATTATTGACAAAAGCGGGAGCTGAACGATGGATAGTTCTGCCTTGTATACTTTCAACCGGGGAAGGGGAATCGATGGCGGCATTCATATTTCTGTCCGATAGGTTAGGACAATCACACGCACTTGTAATATTTTGCTGCGAGAGTTTAATTTCATTGCCATTGGAGTCTGGCAAATGTGGCTTTAGCATGGACTGAGTTGCTTGTTCGCAAAGCAATATACATCGATCTCGCACCGAAACACCGTCTCTACCTTTAAAAAGCACAGATTTTGCTTTACCTTTATGCCATGTGACTACTAAGTCAGAGTCAGTGGCGAAGCCAGCGGTTATGCAGGTCATGCAGTGCATGACTAAAAATTTCCCAAAAAATGTTTAAAAATCAGTTCAGTATAATTGTTTACTAGAAATACATGCATGCAGCAACCCTTCGCATGTATTTTCCAAACATATTGATTTAACATGAAGTATTAGTAATTGATTAACACTGAACCTGTGACTGAACGCAGGCTCGCGTTTACGTCAGTGTTGCCATGGCAACACGATAAATTTAATTTTTATTATATTTTTTGAACAACACGCCAAAAATAGTTGAAATATTATTACTTTTAACTATAT